AAGAAAAACCTAGTTACATTAACTATTTTTTAACCAGATTTCATAGTTCATAAAGGACTTAGATGCTTTTCGTAGCAAAAAAGTCAGCGATACGTTCAGTTATTAAAAAATAGTTGTAGGTACCAATTTATAGTAAATCAAACGATAAATTCCATTCGTTTAACAAAAATGGCTTCAATGGGGTCAAATTGTTCGGTTTACTCGCACTTTTTCTCTCAGGGTATATAGAATGACTCTTTCATATCACTTTAAGGAAATGAAACATTAACTTGGAGGAAGTCGCGTTGAATTTCGCGATTGCGGGGATCGGCTGATGCGGTGAGTTACTTTCCGCAAGGGGCGCGATTCGCGGGAGAAGTGCGGAAAACTCGACGCAAACTCGTCCGAAGCGGTCCCGACGTGTGCCACGGGATTAAGACGTACAATCTCGGGGAAGTTTCTTTACGAGCCGCGAGTTGCAGCTCGCGTTTGCCTTTCGTCTTCGGGACGGGGGAAGTTTTCTCCCCTTAATCCGCAAGCTTTGTCGTTTCATGACCGACGAAGACTCATCACCGGCATAAAAGTTCAGTCCGAGACTCTCGATTGCTCCTGGAACTCGAGAATCAGGGTTCACGTTTCAAATGTCTGCTAAATATTAACAAAACGTACGACATTCGTTTAATTTATAGAAAATATCTGGAAGTATACTAATTCACTACCAAGACATAAAGTTTATAATTGTACTACAGCCTTGCGTACTAAAAGCGTACGAATTTAATGCATTTTTGTTAAACAACGTGCGACCTGGAAAAGTTACGATTTACCCTGAATTTTTTCGATAAAATCTGGGTCTCATCCCCTTCTTTATGCGCCATTCTCGCCGCGATTGGTGGCGCAGGTGAGAGTCGATATTCGCGACCTCGATGGAAATACTTTGGGGTTAATCGACAGATTCGAGGGCACCGAGTATGGCGTCGGGTACGAAGATCCGTCGATTTCCCCCGAAGTTACTCCCCCCGGAAGGAGGGGAAACTTCACCGGCAGGAAAGTCACCTGGGAGTACCGAACGGGCATACCCCACTCATAACTTAGGCACATAGTAAGCCGCCTGACTATCCTTAAACCATAAAAGGGACTTACGGAGTTTTGGCATCTTATGGCGGAACTTTGCATATACTCCCGTGGTTTATGCGACGTGCCATAAGCTGTAGATAGCCGGTCGAGTTAGGCCGAACGAGGATAGAATATTCCTCTCGAGAGGGTGCTCGGGCCCTCGGTACACCTTGTACCGAGCGGAGGAGCATCTCTCGTTATCCGCGCTTCTGCCACTTCAGAGTTTGCCTTTGACGCGCTTAAACGAATTTCCGAATATCGAAGAATCACTGGATGTGCTAGCCTTACTTGCTGCCCTGAGAAATTGCGCCGTCGAGGAGGTACTTATCCTTGCGAAGTGCGATGCGCACTTCTCCGTGGTTGTGGCTCGTAAGGGTCGTTAATCGTGGCAAGTGATTCGATAATGCGAGACGGTCGATTCCGCTCGACGTCGTTCCTATTATGGGATATTAAAGTAATTCATATCGTTATTGCGCTCTACCCCCGTTATTAGCCCGGACGTTAATGACCAGGAATATATTATATTATTCCGTTTCAGCGCCTCGATAAACACGTACAAGAATTTCAGACAAATTGTTCCAAGCATATTTAGAAAAAGTGGAGAGCTACTGATATCGTATCACTGCCTAAATAGTATTGGAGAAGGTAACTGAAACGTACCGTAAGTTACCGAGAATATTGAGAATTTATGAGAACGTTAATTTTTGTATTTAGACTTTTGATTTCTTCGTTTAAATGAAGTTTCTTTTTGATGCACTTCAAAGTTCAAGCCAAAGAGTGATAAATATTATTAGAAATTATTGATTATAGGATCTTGTTTACTTACGGCAGATTTAATTTTCACATTTTGTTTAAAATTATCTACTGCGAGAGCTGCCGATTTTACGCTTCTTGGGGAGGGTTGTTATTTAAATATGGATTTATGAATGCATCCGTATGCGTGGAATGTATCGTATGCATGGTTAACTATGCAACTCGTATGCCGACTAATGCCATAAACATGAGGAATTACGGCACCGCAGGGGGATGAAAAGGGAATGACAGAATTTCGGTAATAAAACCCACGGAGGGCCGGTTGTTATGATAATGCCGGCCGCTCTTTCTACGAAGATGAAGCCGGCGAATAAAAATATAACGTTCCAATAAAATACCGAACAGCCGTGCGCGAGATACGAGATCTCTCCCTTGGAGGTTCTTATGCGTACGCGGACGACCTGCGTTTTCCGCACACGAGTGTCCGCGTCTTGTTCGCCGGGGACATATTTATACAACATTGCCCCGGGAGGAGCGTGGTTTATTAGAATGCATTTCGAAAATACAACCCTTCTTCCTGGGGGTAGTTTTAGAGACTGCGAGGTCTCTTCGAGCCTGCTGCATTTTCTGCATATTTACCGCTTTTATTCGCAGTCGCGGAAACAAACCACAAATGTCGCACAGTGGCGAAAATGAAAAAGTTAACCTCGGTAAAATTGTAAAACTTAAGCTCGGTCAAATTTTCCTTCTTAGAGACCGATGTCAATAATTCGTCCGAATGTAAATTTTAAATCGACGTACGGACCGTACATAACAATTAGGATTCCGTCCTTTTAGCAATAAATGTCCGAATTACCAATCTGGCAATCGATAACCCCAAAGTACAAATTTCATTTTTGAGGCGTTGGCGAGCTTTTTCGCCATTTTCACCCTTGTGCGTCGGTTTGCAAATAATTGGCAAAATGCAAATCTAGCATCCCCGCGATTGTGCCATCCCCTGGAAAAAGAAAACTTCTTACTTCGGGAAGATTACTTCTCAAGTCCTGGGCTTAATAAAATTTCCTGGGAGTCTCTAGGGAAATCTGATTGATTAAAATGGATTGGCGGTTGGATTAAACGGATTCGCCCTTGGGAGTAAACATTCCGTTAAGGATGGAATTCTGCTGGAAAGGTTTTCTTCGCAGCCGAATCCTATTTTTCGTGCTTTTGGGGATTTATGGGCACGCAGTTGTCCCCGATGCACTTCTGCCCCTTAGTGGTAGCAATTATAATTCATATATACACTTTGAATTTCTGTTAACGGTGTGCTTTCTCATTTCTAGACTTTAGTTTGACTCCTACGCAAGCGGATGTAAATTTGGGTCGTAACAACCTTTCAATTTAACGCGAGAAAAATGACAAGGGCCGGAAATTATGCATCGCTTATGCACTCGCTGTAAATGCCGGAACTGAACTGAATTATGCAGGAAGTAGGGTCCTCGTAAAGCGGCTCCTCCAAACTTGGAATAAAGTCACTGATAATTTCCCTTAAAGAAGATTTGCGGGCCGAAATTTGCGGGTCGAAATCCCTCCACTGCTCCTACGAAGAATATTTAAAAAACCAATTTTTCGCTAAACTTCGGGGGGTTGTTTCACCCCTTAATTGTGGACCATTGCAGATATAAAAAAACACGTGTCTCTTAGATTTTTGTGTTCTTCGACATATATGAAAATCAATAAGATCGGGGGCGGACACTTGGGAATGTTTCCTTGTAAGTAGTACCGAAAAACGCTTAAAAACGCCCAGAAACGCCTAGGAACGCCAGAAAACGCCAAAAACGATTTCGAAAATCAAAAACGCGTATCTCCTCTAAAAAAAATCGCATCCACTCGCGCGAGAGCTCAATTTGAAGATAAGAACCTTCCCCGTCGAGCTGCGAAAGTCGCAGTCGCGAAAAAAATTCCCCGGCGGCTGGGCGCCCCGGTAACCGGCGAAACACTAACGCGGTTTCGATAGTTCGATTGTCGGAAAGTGATCGATCAGAGAATTCGAGGACTTCCGTTTCGACCTGGATCGAGAATTAAGGGCGTAGGAGGCGACAGACACCTTAAACTTCCTATTAAAGTAAGTCTCATTTTACATCCGACTGTAACTGGTTAAATATTAATTTAATATTAATTTAACATGAAATTAAATGCCTCTAGCCGTAATACGGAACGCAATTTCAAGTGACACCGCCTTGCCTATTTGAGGGTGTCAAATCGCGAAATAAGGGATGAAATTCCGAGGAAAGTTTTCAATTACATTAGGCTCGGATGCCCGTGAACGAAGCTCCGCAAGCTCGGTCGATTCTCCCCCACTGAACTTACAAACTATGAAAGTTACCCTCCGTTCAGCGAATTGACCGTACCTCCTTTTCTACGTGCCCTGAAAACTCTTCCTGGCAGGTTTTCATTCCCAGCTCCTCTTCGAAAGCTTCGTCCAAAAAGGCGACTTTTTGCCGTCGAAAATTCAGAAAAATACGTCGGTGGCTATTGAAATTCCAAGATCAAGAAATAACCGGAATAGGTAGTCTAGATTTTGTAAAAAAAAAGGTTTATTACGTCAGGGAATGATCCAGGAAGACATTTAATGGAACGAATCAATTGTAGCAAGTAAATCTGTGTTGCAATTTCAATGACCACCAAACAGGGTTCGGCAATTTCATGTTTTTCGAGGTTTTTGAGGTATATTACATAAATCGCGTTCAAAATTATTTAGAATTTCCAATATATCGGATGCCGCAGATACATGATACATGTATCCGCTAGGTTGCAAACATCTTTTAGCGTATACGTAAACACGTCAATACTTTCCAGGACTAATTTAACGCTCGCGTTTATAATTCTTTTTAACTAAACCCTGTTTAATATCAAATTTCAAATTAGATTTATTATTTTCAATTTAAAAATAGAATGGGATAACATACTTTGCGCTGGAAATAACCCCTTTCCTTATTTCAACGGATAAAATCTGTACATTTTACAGATTTTTCTATAAGTGTAATAGACTTTTCTTCTCCATGTACCGAGTTCCTTATGTATATGAACAAAGTAAACTTCCTCCCTTACCCTAGGTGCAGATGCCGGGGTTGGAAGTGCAGTACTCACTCTCTCTCTCTTTCCCTCTGTTGCAGAAGCGGAAAGAAGTGCAGGCGCGGCTGCGGGGGCGGGTGCAGCTGCAGGGGGCAGTGCTCGGGGGTTGTCTGCCTCACCTGCCCCCTCGACCCCCGTGGTAACTAGTCCTTCGAGCTCCTCGACGGTTTCGACCTCGTCTTCGCCGTTGCCCTCGACCACCCCCTCGACCACCCCATCGGCCCTCGTCGCCGGCGTCGATAAATCAGTGCTTCAGGTGAGTACCTCGAGTACCTTCGCACCCCCGCCCCCTCCCCACGTGGGGGAAACGTCGCAATAAATCGTCTCGACGGGACGTCGTCGCGATGCAAAATGCCCGTCAAACCACCCTTTCGACGGGGTGTATAACGTCAACGTCGATCGCAGGAGTCCCACGTCGCGACGTCCTTTGTCCCTCGGTACTCGCTAATTGCGCCAGATGACGAACGGGACGAGTGGAAACGAATCGCGGTCCATTCTTGTCGGATGCTGCGTGCGATATGCTGCGACCCGATGATCGCTCGCCCCAGATAGATATTCCGGAGAGATAGCTCCTTTTGTTTCGACGCTCATTGGATATATTCTAGTTTTCTCCCCCTAGGACTTCCCTTCGATCAAATGGTGGATTGTTATTTTTTATTTCGTGCGCGTAGAAAAAAATATTCCGGTCATTTAAGGTGATATGAAAGGGTCATTTTACATATCATGTCGATGCATTAGTATAATGGCGTTTTTTTTTACACGCAGAAATTTTAAGGAAATTCGTCGTCTTATTCAGGATTCTATATCGGAAATGGGGTAGTTCTTGGGAAATATCTTTCCTTGTATACCAGGAAGTCGAGAGTTAAAGAGTGCACTGACCTACCCTACGGATTTCATTTTTTTGGGGGGGAAACGGAACCATAACTTGGATAGCGTGCGCGGCCGCGGTGTTTCGTTCCGACAGCTGGTAGATAGGATGTCTGAGACCGTCAATCAACGGCAATCTGGTCGGCTAACTCCATTCCATTTGCTGAATTTATATCCGAAGACGAAATGCACTTTCCGCGGGTTCTCTTTCCTCTGGGGCAGGGCAAGATAATAACCTCTAATGACTCACATTATTCATTGCGTCGAAACAGGTTCCGTCAGAACTGCTAATTTTCCTGCTGATGGGGTGTGCGGGGGTGGAGATAGCGGAGAAAAATTAGGAAGAAAAATTTAACAGGAGCAGAGATTTATTGCTGGGCGATACGTATATGTAATTACATCTGGGCGATGCAGGAAGTGAAGCGTGGTACGCGATTACTTACCGAGGGACAAATGACACGGTAGATTCAATGAAGTCATACGTAGCATGCGTACCCAAGTGAAAAGCTTGATAGTACTTAGAACTTCTAATTGTAGGCCTTAAGGTGATACGAATGGGTCATTCTATAGGTGTATATAAAACGTGAAAATATGTATAAAACTTTCTTGGTGAAAATGTGGGGCAGACGTATTTCTTGGTGAAAATGTGGGAAAAGACGTATTTCTTCGTGAAAATGTGGGAAACCGCGGTGGGAAGGAATAGGCCGTGTGTTTCGCAGTCAAAGCTCGAGGAGTGGCCGAAACCCATTTTACTTTCCGCCGAGCATTCGAACTTTGTTCGTAAAGGAAGAAACGTAATAGTCGGCGGAGAGGAGTCTTTGATACGTGCCCCGAACGGAAATTGAGACGCTCTGGAGCCGTTCCTGGAGGAGCGGCGCCGAAGAACGAAACCCGAAAGAAGCCGGGGAAACTGGAGTCGAAGTTCCCCGATCGATTCCTCCTCTCGATCCTGACGCGTCTTCCTCTTAGCTATCCTTGGGTAAATATTAAGCTCTTGGAGCACGTAGCGCGCTCTCGAGGAAAAATTGCCGGTCCTGGTAGAGCTTCCCACCAGAATCCGAACTGACCTGCAGACCTCTGTCGGTTTGTAAATTTCGTTAAATATTAACACGAGGTATCAATTCCTGGGAAGGGCGTTCATTTCACTCGAGATCCCTGCTTCTTCGGCTTCCTCTTTGGCCTCGAGTACTTTCCTAATTATCCGCACTTGAAAATTGATGCCAGACGTCGTTACCGTAATAAGCCAAATTTTTAAAGTCATGAGATATTAGAACTAGGTGTACCGAATCGTTTCAAACATCACAACGTGAATATGGAGGCTACCAGGAAGGTCCTTACACCCATGAAATTTTCTTGTTTATACAAAAAATATTAAAATAACTGTACATTTTTTAAACAATTGAAATGTCATGGGCTCCTTCCTTATAGCCACTAATCAATTGCGATCGAGGATTTTGACTCGGGTTAAATTCTCTTCGTATCATTTCCAGACTCTACGTAAAAACTACAAAATTCAGAAATCGGGCCGCGTAAAATCTCCCATATCTTTAATTAACATTTCTTTTTCCAAACGTAATAACTTCGCTTCGGCTGCCTCGGAGGGATAAGCTCGACTAATGGAACGTTAAAATTCCGGGAAAACGCAATAAGCCGGGGAGGAAGCTCCGAGTAATCGCGTTTTCTCAGGCCATTCGCTTTCACTTTTGCCTCGGTTTCTTTAACCTCTCGTCCACGGTAGCAGGTGCGCTGTTTTTCCCGCGCATTTACATAATAAAGGGGTAGTAATTAACACTCGGCCAGGGGGGGCTTTCGCGGGGGATCGTCCGGGATGGCGAAATAACTTTTTGCGCGCTTAACCGGGACGCCGGATTCCTTATCCCTTTAAGAAGAGGAGGACAGGAGTTCTTCGTAATTAAAGGACATAAATCGCGCAAGAGAGAGAGAGGGAGAAGGGAGAGACGCTGATGGGGGTGCGGAAAATGGCTATGGGGAGAGAAGAGAAAAACCAAGCTTCTGAGGATTCCCGCGCGGAAAAGTGTGCTAATCGGCGATGCAGTAAATTCCGCAAAATGCATCTACGGTTAATGAATACAGGTGTTGGCAATGATAGCCTGTCATTAATGGAGTCTCGTTAAATTCGGTGCTCACGGAACCGATAATTCAATTATTCATGCGTAGACGAGATCGCTTCCCCCTTGGCTTATCGATTTTGCCGCAGAAATCGCGTTTTTCTCGATCCGTTGTTTCGACAGGTCGAAGTTAAACATTTTTCTATCTTAAGGAAATTTTTGCCGAATTTTAACTCGATAATGGAGGCCACTTCATTTATTAGATGTAATCCAACTCGTAGAAAATTTTTGTTAATTCACAATATTTTTTTAACAGTAGACTTTCATCCCAGGTGGGATTTTTAGGAGGGAAATTATCGTTAACAGGGAGTACTGATTTATTTTTACGTCGTTTCGACACCGTAACGCGTTGTTACCACGTAAATTACAAGGCTGGAGACGGTAAAGAGGACAAACGAGAAGGGTGATCGATTGCGTCGCGACTTGACATTTTCTTGCCTCACGTAACAAAAGGTTTTTGTTACTTCCACCCTGGCTGGCCTTTATGGTAGATTCGGTAAATTCCCCCAAGGCCAGGGGCTCCTTAGTATGCTCGTAAAAGATGCACGTCGATACGGGAATCGACTTATCCTGCCTGGTATATTCATATCGACGACCCCATGGAAATTTGAATGCGCCCTTTAGGCAGGGGCGGAAAATGAAATTTTAAAAATTAATTTGTATCAAAAAATGTCTTTACGATTTGACGAAATCCCGGGTTTTACCCTCCGGGGTGTTAATATGGATGGCGAAATTTAATGAAGTCGAATCTTTGGAGCGTATAATGTGTCAAAATGGCGGTCGAGGTAGGCAGACATTTAAATGCGCTCATTATCAAGGGCAAAGTGTTAAAGTTTAGAAATTAATTTTCATTAAAAGATTTCTTTACGATCCGACGAGGGCTCGGATTTTACGCTAAATCGTTGGTGTTAATATGGGTGGGGAAGTTTGACGAAGTTCAATGTTTGGAGCGCACATGACGTGCCAAAATGGCGGTCGAGTTGAGCGCTTCACTCTCATTAGCACGAGTCGAGTTATCAGCCACGAATTGAATCTGTCCCCCAAATGGACCGTCGGAGAGGTGACAAAGTCCACCGAATAATCTCGTCAATTTGATCGAGTTACGTTTCTTTTCATGGCGTCCGTTCCATCCCCTTTTCCCATGGGCAAACAACAAATGGCTCGTGATAACGTCAAACCACGGAATGGGTACGTGAACGGTCTGCGGGAAAAGCAGCCTGACCGAAAATCACGGGGGAATATCAATTTTTCCTATGGAACCCGTCCGACAAAGATATTCCAGATCTCAGGGGGAGAATCCAATTCGAGACGGTCACTTTTTCGGAGGGGGGGAATATTTTCCCTCGCGTTTTACGCGACCTGGAAAAATCCTTCTTCTCCTTCCTTTTCTCTTCCCTCACTCTTTTTTTGCATCGACCCTGAACGAATCTCGTTTATACTCGGAATTAATGTTTTCAATTCGTTACTCACGGAATTAATGTTTTTAATTCATTATTCACGACCATTCTCGATTACGTCGTATAGCAGATCGCCCTGAGAGACAAATCCATTTAAATTAACTACCTCTTCCCTAGTTTTCATAGTTCAATAAGGACTTAGATACTTTTTATAGTAGAATTAACTTTTTTACTGAAGTAGAAAATTCAGGAACAGTTACTATATTTTTATGTCATTGATACATCATACATTTGCATACGATAGGCAATCTGAGACCAGACATCTTGACTGGACTTGGTAGTTCTAGCGTTAACTTGCCATCATTGGGTCGCAAAACTGATGATTCTTACAAGATCGGTTTTACAAGTTATGAAATTTCTTCGGCAAGAAACATTTGGATTGTCGCAAATAATTAATTCCGCCTAGGAAGTAAATTTTTCGCTCAGAGTATGGTGTCGCGTTTCGAGAGTTTTGGAGCATCTCCAAGTTTCGAAGCGGATTTTCGCGCCTTGAGAGAAATGCTTCCGCTCTTTCTCCGCCTTCCGGATGATGCAGGCTCCGCATTGTTGGACTCTGTCTCCGAGGAACCCCAACTATTTCGTGCGCCCCCGCGTTCTAAAAGCCTTCGGTATTCGGCTCATTAGATTCCTACGGGAGCTGTTTGATGCTCCCCGGTGGAACGGGATGCAGGGATCTTTGGACGAAATTCGCGATCCCATCCGTGTAAGTGATCTTCGTTTGCCCAGGGAGATGTAGCCCTTCCTTTGTCGGGGAATTTTCTTTCACTGGAACGAAGATTCGGTACTTAAGGTGATGCGATAGT